TTTACAGATAAGTAGTATTTTTCTACAGATAATTAGTATTATGTTGTATAACATAATAATTTCTAAGTTCTAATATAATAATAATAAAAAAAATTTATAAGATAATTAATTATAATTTATAATAAAATAATTTTTATATTCTAACTATAAGATAATAGATTATAAAGAAAAGATTTGGGAGAGGGAAGGTGTAATTGAGGCTTCGAATATAAGAAAAAGAGACTCCCTTACTAGAAAAGCCCTGCCTTGCGCTCGAAACTGGTTTCCAAACCACTTAATTTATAACATAATAATATCTAAATTTTAATATAATTTATATAAAAATAAAAATTTGATTATTAAAAAAAATAAAAAAATTGTGTGTCCTACCGGCAAAATCGGACGCGCACGGTACATCCTATCGGCAAAACCGCTACCAGCAAAACCAGACGCGCACGGTGCGTCCTATCGGCAAAATCGGACGCGCACGATTACGACCGATTTCGCCGGCCGGCTGACGGATTTATTTTTTTTTAAAAAAAAAATATCAGTGGCAAAATTGTCTAAAGGGATACCTTTTTAGAATGAACCAAAAGAAATGTAGATGTTATTCCCCCTATATATTAATTCAGAACGTGCTGAGCCTACGTGGCAGACTCGCATGATTCGAGATCCTATGTGGCAAAATAACATGATTCGTTATTAGGCTTGGGTAGATTTAATTTACTTCTAATTCAAAAATATTTAAGTTCGAATGATCTATAAATATGTTGATTATTTATGGAAGGGGTGGGCACAGTCCGGAACGGTCCTAAATTTAACTTGTTCCAATACTAATCTCATTTTTATAAATACGTCCGGAGACTATGGTGGGCTCTTTCTTTGAGGTGAAAGCATTTTTAATCCAAAGGGTGGGACCCGCTCAACATATAATCTGATCACAAAGATTGCGTCGAATCTACGCGTTCATTTGATTTTTTATTTTTATTTTTCTTTTGGCACTAAGCGTTCATTTGATTAATGGGCCTATTTGCCCACCACCCGCTTTTACTACTGTGGATTAGAATTTGGAAGAATAAAATTACAAATTAAAAATAAATAATTCCAAACCGACTTTCGTATTTTTTCGCCTATAAATAGGCTTCCTCGAAGATCATAGCAACTCATCTCATCAGAATCCTTTGGAGCAATATACATTTGAGAGGTGAGAGTCCTATACCTCTCTAATTGTCCCACTTTTGATGCTGACGTTTCCTTTAATAAGTTTTTCTCCAAAACTCTTGATTTAGGTGTTTCATGATCTATTCGATTTGCAGTTACGTATTTCTTTTTTTAATTCAGGAGATGATTGCTTTTTTATCTCTGGATTGATCTTCTCCGCCTAGGTTTTTCGTGTTTCGTTTGATTTTCAATTACATATGACTGCGTTATGAACGCTTCCTAGATTCATATTTTTATCCTGAAGTTGCGATTTCATACCTGATCTACTTTGATTTACAATTTAATTTAGTCCTTAATTTTTAAATCTTCCCGATCAAGGATTAGTGATCTTCCCTGTTGTGATTTTCATAATCTCTGTTTCATCTGTGCTTTGATTACTAAGAAGATAAATATAACTTTGATCTTTATTCAGATATCATCTTCATTCACTCATCTCGTGGTATCTGTTTATCTCAGATTTCCTTTACTTAGTATTATTGGATTTATGTCCTTAAAGTGCGCAATTTTCTGTTTTGGGCAGTTTAACAAAAAGCTTGTGTTAGAGAAAGTCCCCCAGTGAAAATCAACACATACATGGTTGAGATAGACATACAGATCCCAAGAGCTTACGACCCCTTTGCGGAGGCCAAAGATACAGACGCCCCAGGAGCCAAAGAGTATGTCCATATTCGCATACAGCAGAGGAATGGAAAGAAGAGTCTGACCACTGTGCAAGGCCTGAAAAGGGAGTTCAGCTACGAAAGGATCCTTAAAGACCTCAAAAAGGAGTTTTGCTGCAATGGTAACGTGGTCCACGATAAGGAGCTGGGGAAGGTGATACAGCTGCAGGGCGACCAGCGCAAGAATGTGTCCCACTTCTTGATCACTGCCGGGATTGTCAAAAAGGACCAAATCAAGATTCATGGTTTTTAGACAACTGCTTTCTGATTGCTGATTATATGGTGTGATTTTACTTTTAGTTGTTTTCTGTTTCTATGCGGTTTGTTTTCTGCTTTTNTTGTGGAGAGTGTGAGAAGGCCTTGAATGCCATGGGGTGTTTGGTGGAATATTACTGTGTTTCTGCTATTAATACTAATAAAGTTCTTGTTGGTTTTCTACACCTTATTTTTACTAAAACTCACATCCATTTTATGTTTTTTTTGGTTCTGACATGATCTGATTAGTTTCTTCACAAACTTCATGGAACAATCTATTTTACTACATGAGACTACCCAAGCTATCCCCTTTAGACACATACCCGCTCCCTACTCCTTTATCCTTGGCTTTAGTAACCTTGCTTCTAGTTGGCCTATTAAAGGATCTCTGAGTTTTTGGGACAGAGACTTTGCCCTTAATTTGATGAACTGCCACATTAACTAAATTACAAGGTTCTAAGGACTTCCCTCAACCCCACACCTTTTCCTCCACCCTCCCTTACTACCCCTACCCCATGTTCTTTATCTAGGACCTCTACTAGTTGATATTTTTTCTCACCACCCAAATTCAAAGCAAAGTTCTGATCCTAACTAACCCTTGTCCCTGCCCAGCCACAACACTAGGACTCTCCTTCCCTTTCCCTAGATTCCTATCTTTGCTAGACTCAGAATTCAACTTGATACTATTAGGGCTAGAAGATTTCCTATCTCTAGACTCACTAAATCCCCCGAATGAACCCCTTAGCCATTCCCTAAATTGCCCCGTTCAAATTACGTTCATTTGGATATCTAATTTTTTAACATCACACATCCTATAGCCAATTCTACTACAATAGAAACAATAGGTCAATACGTTCTCATAACTAAACTTAACCTACTGCTCTTTCCCCATTGTAATGTTTGTTCCCCGCGCTCCAAGACACTCACTTCTGCCAGGATCTTGATCAATTTTCCATTCATACAACCTCCCCCGACACTATTAGAGCATCTCCAACCCACTCTTTATACCTAAAGGAAACGGGTGGGTTGGAGAAAAATCTCCAACCAGCTCTCTTGCTTTGGCGGGAACGGAAGGGCAGATTTTGTGGAACGGGCTAAGTAAGAAAATGAAATTGAGTTGTATTTTGGGCCAATTTAGATGTATTGTGATTGGGCTTTTTTTAACTACAATTAGACTAATTGAATAAATTATTTTTATGGGTTGAAACATTTTATAATTATTTTAAACTTAATTATTGTAATTAATATGGTAGAATTTTAAGTAGTGGAATGAAAAAATTGATTACTTTATTAGTTAATATGATATAATAATAATTAGTATTTAAATTCGCTTAAGTAAATATTTCAAATAAACAAGTTTAAATTACAAAATAAAGATTAATATTCAACTCACTTAAAATTAACGGTTCAAACAATAAGATTAAAATCACAACATAAAGANCTCACACATATTTTTGAAAAATTTTCTCTCTCTCAGTGAATCCGTCCCCAAATTTGCGAAACCCTTCTTCCAAAAATCCGACGTTTCGCCTTCCTCCGCGACGGATTAGCTCGGCCATGGGTCATCTTTGACTGCTTGACCCACTCCTGGTGCAACGCTTCTTCGATGTGGCCGTGGATTGCTCGTGGTGCGGTGGTCCGATCTGTGGTCGCTGATGGGGTGTCGGTGGGAGGTGTCAACTCGCACGGCCGTCGTTCGGCTGACAATTGGAGGCTATTTCTTCGATTGTCGGCGGTGCTCTGGCTTGCGGTGGTTTGCCCTTCTTTTGGTTCTCCTTTGTGGCTGCTGGGCTATGGTCAGATCTTCTATGTATTACTCAATACACCATTATTCAACTTGTACCAGTGGAGCAACAAGAAGAAGATAAAACTCGAATGAGATTTAGAGAGAGAGAGGAACGAGTTCTAGCAATTCTGTTCTCTTCTCATGAGCTTATTGATGTATATATAGAGGTACAGTAGGGACCCTTAAGAGATTAGGAAAAGGGCTCCCTAATTAATTAGACTAACTGCGGGCCAAGCCCACTCCTCTAATTAATCAAATAATATTAATGGGCCACCAACATTATATTATTGCACTCCCTTTTTCTAGCTCAAATTACATTTGAGATTCCAATAATAATTACTCGATTTACCTCCCCACGTTTGAGATATAATGTTCATTAATTAATTCGATTACTGACAATCAAGAATTAATTAATTTATTATTATTTCACTGAAGCTAGCGCTCGTCCATCACATTCTTACTATGTCGGAATTTAATCCACCTGCAGGGTTTAGCATAACAATCCTTCATGAACTCACTCTGGGGACATCATCAAACTAACGCACTTGGTGACCGTAAATATCCTAACAGCACATCCTATATATAATAATATTACCCAAAACAGTAGGAATATTAATCCAGCGAACTGAACCTCACCCATGTGAATCAAAGTAATATATATTATATATATCTGCCTGTTTAATATCTTATGGGTTAAGAGAACGCAGTAATTAATCGAGGCCTAGTTCATTTACGACGATCAGTATAAATGAACTTCTCCTCTCTGGGATCCTGTTCAATACATAAATGTACTAGTGCAACTAATCAGTCAAGACAAACTGTACAGTTGACTACAACCGTTCGGATGGGGTGTTCATGTCCATCTAGGTTGTGAACAACTATTCTTGTTTGCAAGTGACTGATAGAGTGATCTTCGGTTCGCCCGATGACGACCCACCCTATCTAAGTGCAGAACAACATAACGTAGAACTTGTTTAATCTAACATGATTCTCATTCATAAAGGGTAAATGTGTAATAACATACAAAGCCAAGCTTTCAGTATATAACACTAACAATCTCCCACTTATACTTAAAGCTTTCGCTTTTACAGTATAGTCCTATCAATCCGTTATTCTAAAAGACCTATGTCGATCCTATTGCCATGCTCATGACTCCCATTCCTTCCACATGTTTGACGAAGACCTTCCCCGGAAAACTCTTCGTGAAAGGATCAGCTAGGTTGTCCTCTGACACAATCTTGGCAACATCAACGTCTCCTCTACCAACGATATCCCGAATCAGATGGTATTTGCGCTCTATGTGTTTGCTTGCCCTGTGGGCTCGAGGTTCTTTTGAGTTCGCTACTGCTCCACTGTTATCACAGTACACGGTGATACCACGTGCCAAACTCGGTATAACCTCTAAGTCCACCAAGAAGTTTCTGAGCCAAACTGCCTCTTTCGCTGCCTCTGAGGCTGCTATGTACTCGGCTTCCATGGTGGAGTCTACCACACATTTCTGCTTAGCACTCCTCCATGAAATGGCTCAACTTCCCAAGGTAAACACATAACCTGAGGTTGACTTACTTTTATCCCTATCTGACTGGAAATTAGAATCACTGTAACCCAGAGGTAACAAGTTGCCTGCACGGTAAACTAACATGTACTCCTTAGTTCTTCTCAGGTACTTGAGTATATGCTTCACCGCGGACCAATGTTTTCGTCCCGGATTACTTTGATATCTAGCTACCATGCCAACGACGTAGCTAATATCTGGCCTAGTGCACAACATTGCATACATGACACTTCCTACTGCCGAAGCATAAGGAACTGTCTTCATCTCCTTTATCTCCTTAGACGTCTTAGGGGACATCTCATTAGATAGAGGTATTCAATGTTTGAAAGGTAACATACCTTTCTTGGAATCCTGCATGCTGAACCTGGCCAAGACAGTATCTATGTATGAAGACTGGAATAAGCACAACATTCTCTTCTGACGGTCTCTAATGAGCCTAATACCAAGAATGTGTCCTGCTTCACCTAAGTCCTTCATATCAAACTGCTTACAACCACACCTTTACGTCTGACAACTCCTTCTTACTGTTTTCAATAAGCAGTATATCATCTACGTAAAGCACAAGAAACACCACCACGCTCCCACTGATTTTCTTGTAAACACAGTGCTCATCCGGACATTGAGTGAACCCGTACGACTGGATCACCTCATCAAAACGGATGTTCCAAGATCTCGAAGCTTGCTTCAGTCCATAAATACACCGATTAAGCTTATACACTAGATGCTCACGACCTTCAGCAATGAATCCCTCTGGTTGCTGCATATAGATGTCTTCCTGTAGGTTCCCATTAAAGAAAGTAGTCTTGACATCCATCTGCCAGACCTCATAGTCCATATGAGCGGCTACAGCCAAGAGAATCCGAATGGACTTAAGCATAGCTACTGGCGAAAAGGTCTCATCATAATCAATACCCTCGATCTGGGTATAACCTTTCGCAACAAGCCTAGCTTTAAAGGTTTGTACCTTCCCATCCGATCCTCTCTTTCTCTTATAGATCCACTTACATCCAATGGGTCGTACCCCATCGGGTGGTTCTACAAGATCCCTGACCTGATTGGAGTCCATTGACCCCATTTCAGCTTTCATTGCAACATTCCATGAATCTGCATCTTTATCTTGGAGTGCCTCATCGTAAGTTCTTGGGTCCGATTCTAGGCCTCCTGGAACTGAGTCTGATGACTCTCCAAGACCTATCCATCGGTCGGGTAAATGAGAAACCCTCCCACTGCGACGAGGCACTGTCTGCACTGGTATACTCTCTGTGTGCCGTGTTGCAGTATTATGTGATGTATCTACTTGCGCACTCGGTGGGGAACCATCGATTTCACCCATTAACTCCTCTAAGACAAGTCTACTCGCGGGCTTATGATTTATAATATAGTCTTCTTCCAAAAATCTAGCGTTCGTCGAAACGATCACCTTCTGATCCTCAGGACTATAAAATAATTCACCTTTCGTTCCCTTGGGATAGCCTACGAAAACTCGTGCTTCCGAACGTTTATCCAACTTGCCAGGTTCCTACACTAACACGTGTGCAGGACTACCCCAAACTCGAAACTGTGAGAAACTGGGCTTGCGCCCTTTCCACATCTCATAAGGGGTAGTGTCGATGGAACCATGTTCAGAATATACGATGTTGTTTCTAATGCCAAACCCCAGAATGAATCTGATAACCTCGAATAACTCATCATAGACCTAACCATCTCCATAAGAGTCCTATTTCTTCGCTATGCAACCCCGTTTTGCTGGGGCATGCCGGGTGCAGTCAGTTGGGATTCAATCCCAGCTTTCGATAAGTATGTTCTGAAGTCTCCAAAGAGGTATTCGCCACCTCGATCAGAACGAAGTGACTTGATACATTTACCATGAAGCTTCTCCACAACTGCCCGATACTCCTTGAATTTCTCAAAGCATTAGGACTTGTGGTGCAACAGATAAACGTACCCAAATCTCGAGTAATCATCTATGAAAGACACATAGTACTCGAAACCTCCTCTAGCCTGGATCGACATAGGACCACACAAATCAGAATGAATCAATCCTAGCACTTCTTGGCTCCTATACACCTTTGCCGTAAACGGCCTCTTGGCCATCTTACCTTCCAGACAGGATTCGCAAATTGGATAGTGCTCTTCCAATGGACCGAGATGTCTACTGGCCACTAACTTTTGAATCCTCCTAAGGTTGATGTGCCCAAGTCTAAGGTGCTTGATTCATGTGCGAAGACTCCTTCCTCTTTTTAGATGTAGTTATGACATTATTCAATTCATTATGTTGCACTGTGGGAGAGTTTGGTTTGAGAACATACAAATTGCCAACTAATGAACCACAACATATGAAACGATTTCCAAAACGAATAATAACCATGTCATCAAACGAAACTGAAAAGCCATCCATAACGAGTTTAGAAACTGAAACAAGGTTCTTTCTAAAGCTAGGAACATAAAGACAATTTCTCAAAACCAAACTGCTACTATCAAACGATAAAGCAACGTCTCCCACTGCAACAGCTGCCACTTTCATAGCATTGCCCATGTAGACGGTGGTCTC